GTTGCATGCATTCCTAGTTTATTGATGTTCACCAATTTGAAATAGTTACATCACCACCCCACCACTCCCTTTGAGAATTTTTTTTTCAACTCTCTTCCATGTAGGATATTACATAGCAATTGGCACAGAATATTTGAAATAAGAAAAAAAAGAAGTTCTCTGCTTACGGACTTTCTATCCATATTTCAATTTCTTCCTATTGAACTTGTAGTTTTTCTTCATATTAGTCCCATATTTTTGTTTCTATAACTCTCATTCGCAATTTGCATAGACTAGGTCCTCCATCACCCAAAAAAATGGCTTTTGTTGTGTTTGTCATGAAACAGGTTAGGACTTGAATTTAACCAATATTTGGAGAGAGAGATGATCAGCTAGTACCGAGGCTTTGCATCCAAACTTCAACTTAGATTTTAGCATTGATTAAAAACAATTATGTACTTCTAAAAACTTTTTTTGGGGAAATTCTATATTGTTTTATGGATATGTATGTGATATAAGAGATAATTTCATTTGAAAATTAAAATTTCCCAATTTTTGTTTTATCTTGAAGTACAAAATACTTCTTTAACATATAAATATTACTTAGATCTTGATGTTAAAATCTACTGCATTCAACATATTACTTGTTGATGTTAGTATTGTTGATCAAGAGGAATTTATGTAATGAAAATGAACATAAAATTTCTTTTGATGATGTGCAAAGATCTCTCATGTCTTGTGCTAGGGCATGGCGGCTCCTTGGCCGTTGGATCAAGCTGGACTGGAGCAGTCAGTGGCAAAGTGTGAGGACTCATATTTTATTCTTAATTTAGCCTATTTTAAAATTATCTGCATTGGTGTTATTTAATTTTATTATTTTAGCATGAATTTTACTTAAATTATACTTTTATCATTTACGCATCAAAATTTTTCAAAAGTCGCATCGGCATGATTAATCAGAGATTTGGAGAATTAATTTTAGACTAGTAAGTATGAGTATTTGTAGTACTAGAGGAACTACCTTGGAGGATTAGTATTTAAGTGTAGCAAACAAGAGGGAAATTGGTAGTGCATGACACTATTATACCACTATGCGACGTTGACTTTTTTCACCAAACAAAAGGCTAGTTTTCTTCCAACCTTTTCACCACAAATCAAACACTCCAACTCCCTCACTTTCTCTCTCTCTTGGCCGAAAATTGGGAGCTCAAAAGGGGGAAGCAAAAGTTTCATCTTTTGCTTGTGATCTTGCTTAAAGATCAACACCCAACCCTCAAGACCTTTGGATATTGCTTTCGCTAGAGGAAATGTGCTATCTTGTGGTGGTTTTTGGTGGAGTGTTGGTGAAAAACCTTGTCTCCAACTAGGGTTCAAGAAGGTAGAAGAGGTAATAAGCTCATCTCTCATTGATCTTTAATTTTTACAAGGATTAGTAATGGTTAGTGGTTGATTTGCATTGGTTTGAAAACCCTAACCAAAAACCTAAGCTAGAGGACTTGAGGAAACTCTTGTTTCTTGCTTTATATCTTAGGTAGTGACCTTGAGGTGGCCTTTTAGGTAGCGGACTTGAGGGTTATTGCTTGTTGGTTGTTGTTCTTGTGAAGTATGGCTTTATATTGGCTTGGTTATGGAGAGAAATCTTGAAGAATTTAAGGGGAGGGGCTGACCGAAATTTGCTGTCTTGTTCCCTTGCTTTGATTTTGAATTTTGTTGCTCAAATGGCTGCTAAAATGCTTGTTATATGTTGAATTGTGTGTGTAAAAAATTATCTTTCAAAAATCATTTCAATTCGTCGAGTAAAACTTGAGTTTTGAAGAAAGAAAGAAAACTGGAAAAGTAGCCCAGGTCAGCCGACCAGGGGCTCTTTGATTGCACATAAATCTTTGTACAAAAGTCAAAATCAAGTGCCGTTTGCGGAATTTGAAACTAGGCACCAAGACCTTTCCAATGGTATAAAATTTCCTTACTAATTCGTTTTGAGTGAGCCATAGTGAACCGGCAAAATGGACTGATATACTTCACCTGTTTACCCGAGAAAATTATACAGCTGCATGTTGTGGCTCAATTTCGTCCCTTTTGTGAAAAGAGTTTGAACACGGTTTCTTCTGATGATTTATAGAATTTTGAATTTAGTTTTCAATGCCATAAACCATTCCCAATTTGGATTTGTGTAGCATTAGTGATGGCCTGAAAAACCAATTTTCTTAAAACTATTGTATCTTGGTGTTGGAAAATCCGAATTGAGTTTCGCTTATTGTGTTTGAAACTTGGCTTGAATTTCTTTCTGTGTTATAAATTTCAGAGGCTGATTCAATTTCTATGAAATTTACCAAATTTTCAAACTTTACTGAAAATCAAGACTGTTTCTGCCCTGTTTTAATAAAACAGCAAGTTTGAGCTGAAATTTGAATGATTTGTGATTGGAATATAGGAAAAGTGTCTTCGGGAAAGTTTTAGCACTTTGAATCTAGTTTCTGATGGTATAAAGTTTCTAATTTTTGGACTTACTGAACTCAAGATATGAATTTTAAAGTGTTGTCGCGTAAAGCTGGAAATTTCTGATTTCCAACAAAATGAACTTTTATGAACTTCCAACTTCCTTTTGAGATTGATAGTTCATTTCAAACTTGCTTTCATAGATGATACAAGTTCTTTTGTGACTTTAAACTTTCGTTTGTGAATCTCGATTTTCAATGGAATAAACCTCTTTTGATGCGTTGTCCTAGTTCTAAGCAAACGGACTTTCTTCTTTGTATGCTCAATGACCTAGGGTATCCATGAGTGATGGTTGATTAATATTTCTTCAGGTGCTCGAGAGGGTTTCAAAAGAAATCCCGGCGTGGAACTTTAAAGGAATTTCTTGCTCACTTGCTTTTGAAATTGGTGAGTGTCAAGTGTATGACTTGTTGCATAATACTTGAACTACTTCTTGTTGAATATGTGAATTGGACTTGTCGACACGAGTGTGTACTTTATCGCACTCATTCTCTCTTGCTTGACTTGATAATTGACTTGCTCGTACTCGATAATCATATTCGTGCTTGTGCGTGACTTGATGTTGATTTGAGAGAAATCTCATCGACTTATACTTGTACTTGTGGGGACGCCCAAATCCCATTGGCTAACATTGTAACTCGAGCCGGTATAGGCTTGGTCGGGAAGCTTGGTGAACTATAAAAAATTATAAAGTTTGATATTTTGAGATCTTGTTTGGCATACTTGAGTAGTATTGCCATTTCATGCGTGTTTGGTTCCAGATCCGAGAGGTTGAAATGGTGGATGGAGGAAGTAAGTGGGGTCTACAAACTTGTGTATTTACTCGGTTGACAGAGTTTCACCACTTGGAAGTGTTGGATCAAACCTTGGCAAAGTAATGTGGATTTAGCTCCTGAGAGCTCCCGTATCCTTATTGATTCTGTTTTGTTTTCCTTTGTGAGTTATATGAATATTATGGCTACCCTTCTTGTATGAGCTTTAATGCTAGCTGTACTTATTTGTTTGCCTACTTTTCTTGGTCTCATTGAGTATTAGCTCACCCCCTGTAGTTTGTTTTCCTTAACAGGAACTTGAAGTGGAAAGATTTTGGAGAAGCTGGTTTTGATTGTCTTTTGGTCCAATTATGGATGTAAATGATTTAGTCAACTTTTGGTGGTTGTATTTTGGGAAAATTTGATGTAACTTTTGGGAATATTGTGATGTAGAATTGGATGACTATTGAAGGAAGCGACTTTTCTTTATATTAGTTTTCTTACTGGTTGGTTAGTTCTAAGTTATAAATCTTGACTTGTATCGAGTCCTGGCGAGAGTTAGGCAGGCGGCCCGTCGAAACCCTAGGGTTCACCCTAAAGAGAAGTGGAGTCATCACACAAAGTCTTTTGCAGCAGTTCTGCGAGGTGAATCATCTTCTTTGCGGGACTCTACTCCGAAACTTGGTGAGTTGTTGACCTTTCGGGGAAGCCAGCTTTTAGAATTTCCAGGAGTGAGTTGGAGACACTAGCTAAACCTTTTGCGAATTTTTAGTTGGGCAGTTTGCATTTGGTAGGCCTTCAATGGAGGCTATTAGGAAGTTCATAATTTCCTTGGGACTGAAGGGGTATTGCTCAGTGGGTTTCTTGGATAAACGCAATATTCTTCTTCGTCCAGAGCTGGAGGAAGACTACACAAGGATTTTTGTCTGACATACTTAGTATGTGCTGAAATCTCCTATGACTATCTCCAAGTGGACATTGGATTTTAGTGCCAATCAGGAATCAGCAATTGCACCGGTTTGGGTTCTTTTCCCAGGCTTGTCATTGCCTTTGTATAACCTTTGCTATATTCTAAAAGTAGCAGCACTTCTGGGTCGACCCTTAAAGGTTGATAGTGTGACAACAGGCTTTAAGCGCCCCTGCGTTGTATGGGGTTTAATGGAGCTCAATGTTTTTAAACATCTATCAATCGAGTTTGGATAGGGGCTGATCATGATGGATACTAGCAGAGGGTAGAAAATGAAAATTGGCCTGTATACTATTCGTTCTGTGAGCGAATTTGCCACTCGCTTGATGACTGTTTTAGTAGGAATCCTGAGTTGAAGTTGTAGAGAGAAAGGTTCATGGGGAGGCTCAGAAGCACTCCAATCAGCCTTTGCCTCCAATATATGTAGTCAAAGACAAGTGGGTCCGTTTGGATTAGCTGTTTTTTAGAGTGTTTTATAAAAAATTTACTATTCATTTTTTGAAAAATAGTAAATGTTGTTTGGATTAGCTGTTTTTCATAAACAGATTGTTTTCGAAAAACAAAAGTGTTTGGATTCACTGTTTTTGAAAAACAACAGTTAAATTTTTTGGAGTTCAATAAATATCCTTTCTAAAATACTTATTGCCGTTTGTAGTGGTACAATTAAATGTAAACTTAATACATAGAGGTTTTCATAAGTGTACATGCCAGATATAATATGTCCGTGGAAACATTAATTATTATTTTGGCATTGACAATCCGCCTTATTGTTAGAAAAGCACAAAATAGATAACGACCAACATGTTCTATAGATGTTGGTGATAGTACATGTGATCGGCCATTGCTCTCCTATCTTCATTCCAGCCAGCAATTCTTTGAGCCGACATATCCAGTGGTTGTGCTCCGGCCATTTGATTGCCCTGATTTATATTATCTGCCAATGTTGCATCAGTTTCTTGTTTAACAAAATATGCGTCATTGGGAACATGATCGCGCATGAAGTTGTGCAAGGCACAACAAGCAAGGACAATATTATTTTGTGTTGCCATCAAACAGTTCTGCATGGGACCCTTAAATATCGGAAATCGCTTCTTCAAGACACCAAACGTGCGTTCTATAGTGTTTCTTACCAATGCATGGCGTTTGTTGAAAAGTGCTCTTGTTGCCCGCTCTTGTGGGATTCCCCGTGCACTCCTAAAGGGAGCCATAAATCTTGACATATTTGTGTATGCCGTGTCCACCGCATAATACTTTCCTACATATCATGTAATTATAGTTAAGTACATTATAAATATAAATGTATTTAAACAAGACAAAAACTCAATTTTTAAAGGCATTATTTGATTTAATTTTCATTCACCTGCTGGTGGCATTGGAAAGACACAATTAGGATCAAGTAAAACATTTCGTAGGATCCTAGAATCATGTGCGCTACCCTCCCACCCTACCCTAACATAAGTGAATCTCATATTATGGTCACACACGACTAGAATGTTTTGTGATAAGCCGCCATGCCTATTCCGGTAACGATCCCTGTCTTCGGCTCTACACCAAGCTGAAACATGTGTTCCATCAATAACTTCAACGCAATCCTAATTACAATTGGCCAGTGTTCAGTCTCCAACAGGTTTTCATAAGATGCTAAATTGTTCAAAAAATAACCTCTAACCTTAAACCAGGGCCACAATAGAGCACTGTTTTGTATTCTTGGATGAATTATGTGATAATCTATCGGCCTGACCAAGTCACGTCCCAATTGAATGAAAGATCCAAGGCAGCGTCGTAGATGGCAGTCCACTGTCTCGGAAGAATGTTGGAATCTCTCGGCTAGCACCCTATATCGCTCATTATGACTTAAGCACAGAAGGCAAATGGCGACAAACTCATGAATTTCCACCCGTAGTGTCAAGTGGGGCTCCCAATAGCCCCTCTCAAGCAAACAAGTCACATAACTGCAGGAAAAGGGGAGCTTCCATGCGAAGGTTATCGAATATCTGTCCCGATAGCCGTCTATCAGCTCTATAACCCATTGAACACCCGACTGTGCACCATCTCGGATTCGTCGCTACTCTACAGGGTTTAGGTATGGGTCGAATAAGGCCAATCCAACTAATACAAACATAGTGAAGGTCAATAAGAGCTCGTCCTCATCCTATTCGTCAGAGAAATCCCCACCATGCACATAATTATCATACTCCATTTCAGGTGTTATTGGTGCAGTTTCGTCAAAGGTGAATTTGAAAACAAATGAGGCAATAGTAATGTTCAGAATCAAGACCAATTGTCTTCTAATTAACAAAAAATGACTTAAAAATACCTATACACCTGCAATAATGAATTAGTCGAAAATTATATATGATTTACAAAGACAAGTCATTAACTTCCTTTTCAAGACAATATGGAAAAGCCAGTCTTGTGAGGACCCAAAATTTTTTTTTCTTATTTTATTGGTTTATTTTATTATTTATTTACCCATTTTCTCCGAATAATTTATTTCAATCATTTTAAGTCCATTTGTATGGAACAATGTCTCCCCTATGTTTTAAAACATCCCGTTAGCAAATTTAATTTTTCGGAGGTTCATTTAAGTGAGGAATAACGAGTACACGTTTTTCGAGATTATATTTGAATCGAGAATATAATAATTTTAGAGAATTAAGAATGATCAATAGTAGATTAATAAAAATTAATTGAGAGATTAGATGTGAGTAAGTTAAAATTTAGTTTATACCGTCCGCGTGTCGATAGTTTTTCGAAAGACGCGCTGGTACAAATTAATTGGTGATTTGAGAAATTAATACTAGACTCATGTGAGAATTCATATTTTTATTTCTAAAATAGTTATTTTATGATTAATTACCCTAGTATTAGTTAGTTATATTATCGTTACAAGAATTTTTTAGAAATTGCACTTTATCGCCCGCAAGTCGGAAGTTCGCTTTTTCACGCGCGCGACTAATTGATGGACTTTAGAAATTTATTTTTGGGCTACTAAGAATGAATAATTATAGTACTAAAGGAATTATATTTGGAGATTTAGTACACAAGTGAAATAAACCCGAGAGAAAACGGACACGAAACGCCCGCGCGCGACACTACTAGGAGTTGACTTTTCACAAACTTTGGCCCCAAGTTTTCAAGCTTCGAAGAGAAGCTTTAGTCATCAGCCATTTCTCTCTCTCTTCTCATCTAAGCTGGCCGAGCCATCAAAAGGGAAGGAGGAAAGAAACCACTCCAAGTCTTGCTCCAATTCTTCACCAAAACACCAACCAATCTTCCTCCAAATCACCTTAAATTTTGCATCCAACTTGCAAATCACTTGGAGATTCACTTGGACTAGGAAAGAAACATCATCTCAAGGTTTTTCTTGGGGTTTTAGAGGTGCAAAACTTCTGATTTTTACTCAAGAAGTAGAAGGTAATCATCAAACCATTTAATCTTGACTCTATTGGGTTCGATCATGGCTATGAAGCTTGTAGCTTCATTATTGACGTTGTTATTTGGATTTAAATGGTTGGAGTGGGTTCTGTGAATTCCCACCTTGGATATATGGACTGATATGATGATATAATGGTTGGTTTGAGTTGTTTTAGTGTTGTTTAAGTTAATTATGGGTAGAGAATTGAAGGAAACCGAATAAAATTTTACTTGGGCTGCTGACCGAAAATCTACCCTATTTTTCTTGAAACTTTGGTTTGAATTTTTGATACTCAAATGACCTTGAATTTGATGTATATATATTGTGTGTGGTGTGTATAAAGTTTCTATCAAAAATCATTTGGATTGGTTGGATAAAAATTGAATTTTGGCAAGAACAAAATCTGGAAAACGTGTAACAGTGGTCCTCTGGCAGTGTTCTTTGAATGAACATATCTCTCTGTCCGGACGTTGGAATTGAGTGTCGTCAGTGGCATTCAAAACTAGACATCCGTAGTTTTCTAATGGTGTATCATGCACCTTCTAATTCTAACCGAGTCATTTGTAGTGATTGAGCAAAATCTGCTGTCCTGTTTCATTGTCAAACCGAGGGAAAGCTAGAATCTGCAAATTGTTGCTCTATTTTCTCTCACTTGCAAACTGAATTTCAAAATGACTTCTTCTGATGAAATGTATTCTTTTGAATTTAGTTTCCAACGCCACCAACCATGCTCAATTTCAAATTTAATTGAGTGAGATGTGATCTAATTACCAAACTGCAGCAAATCTGGAAAACCCTCTTTTCATGCTGGCCGACTGGTTTGGTTGCTTGTGAGAGGTTTTATTTTGAGATTTTGATGTCAACCAACTAACAATTGCTTATGAAATGTTCTTGGACCTTGGTTTAACAAATGACCCAAAAATTGGGCTGATTTCATGATACAAAGTGTTTGAAAAGGAAAGAGAAGCTTGAGTTGGTAGATTTGTTTTGAAAATTTCACAAACTTCAGTCGTTTTGTTAACTGCCTTCCCAAGTGAATTTTTGTGTGAAATTTGGTAGTTCATATATGGAAGATTTAGTGTACCAAATTTGGTGTATTTTCAATGCCAATTCGATGGCCAAATAATACTTCAAAGATAGCCTTTCAAATCTGGAAAACGACTGAACAGTTTATAAAATGTGACCAACTTTGAGCTGCTCTATATCAATGGTCAAGACTCCGATTTCAGTCCCATTTATTGTGTTTTAAACCTTAGTTGGAATTCTAATTGAGTTACAAATTTCAGAGGCTAGTTCACTTTCTTTGAATTTTTCCGAATTTCCCAAGTTTTTCGAAAACTAGGATTGAAACTGTTTTGTAGTGCAAATCAGCCACTTTAAGCTGAAATTTGAGTGTCTTCCATTTAGAATCTTGGAAAAGTGTCTTCTAGGAACTTTTAGTACTTTGAAACAAGATTCCAACAGTATAAAATTTTTTAATTTTTGATCTAAGGAGTGCAAGATATGATTTTTCAAAAATTGCTCCTTAAAACTGAAATTTTCGAACTTGATAAGAAATGACTTTTTGGAAACTTTTCTCTACTCTTTGATAATGATTGATCGTTTTAAACTCGATTTCGTGATGGAAATCAGTTTTTCTTGTGTTAATAAATCCTTACTTTTGAACCTTTGTTTTGCGTGGTTAAGGTTCGTGTTTGAGGTATAAACTAGTCAAATTACGTGTGCCTTCTTTCTTGATTAATATGTGATTGTGAGTGAGAAATATTTGTTAATTGTCCAGGCGCTCAAGGAGATTTCGAAGGGAATCTCGGTGCAGACACCTAAAGTTTTGTTTGCTCACTTATTTTGAATCGGTGAGTGACAAGTGCATGAATTACGTGTTTACTTGATCAATTTTACTTGTATACGTGAACATAACTTGATAAGATGAGTGTGTACTTTATCGCACTCACTCTCCTTTATTTGACTTATTATTTAACCTATTTGAAGTTGTATGTCGATTGGAGTGAATCTCGTCGACTATTATACGTGATTACTATTATACATGTTTACGTGGGGGACGCCCAAATCTCATTGGCCAATCTTACGATTCGAGTCAGCATGGGTTTGGTCGAAAAACTTGATGAACCATGGGATTATTACAAAACACAACTTGATCTTTTGAGATCTTGTTCGGCATATTCGTGGAGTATCGCTCTTTTCGTGTGCATTCTTAAAAACAAAACTTGATCTCTTGAGATCTTGTTCGGCATATTCATGTAATATCGCTCTTTTCGTGCGTGTTTAGTTACGGATCCGAGAGGGTGGAACAGTAGGTGGAAAAAATATTAAGTGAAGTTTCTACGAGCTTAAACCTACCCGGATGACGAAGTGTCCTTACGAGGGGGTATCGGATCGAGCCTTGGCGAAACAAGTGGAAATCAGCTCCTGAGAGCTCCTGTATCGTTAACAAGTGTGTTATATTACCAATTGTGAATTACTTGAACTTTTTGACTTTAATTCCTGTACATATATTATTGTTACTTGTTACTTGAACTATGTATTCGCATGTGTATGTTTTGTTTTTTTTTCTTGTTCTCACGAGCATTCACTCACCCCGTTGGATTTGTTTTTCTTAGCAGGACCGGATGGGAAGATTTTGGAGAAAAATCGACTAGATTACTCTTTTGATTTGTACCTTGGTTATAATTGTTTGGTCGATTTATAACGATTGTATTTTGGGACTTGATACACTGTTGAATTGGGATTTTGGATGTATTTGTCTAGACAACTTTTGGAGGTTGTATATTTGGGAATGAGATGTACTTTTGATATCTTGTAATATAAGATTGAATATCTATGCATGGCAGTGACTTCTTTTCTTACGTCGTCTGGTATTAATAGTTATTATTGTATTAAGCTTGAACGGGAATTGTACCGAGTCCTGGCGAGAGTTGGACCGGCGTCCCACGGATACTCTTGGGTTCGCCCTTGGGAGAAGTGGGGGCGTCACAAGTCTTAGAGGCCAAAACTAGTATCCTTCAGTCACTATGTAATGCCTTAGATGCTAAA